TAAACCACTTTTATTAAGTAAGGACTTGTGTCGCTAAAGTTTCGTCGGAACGAAGTTACGGAAAGTTAATTAACAAACGGAGACGTAACAATATGTATATATTTATACCATTAAGAAATATAAGTAAAAGCCATTTATTGCGACAATTGGCAAAAATAAGAACTTGTGTATATATATATATATATATTATTATTATTATTATTTATTTTCAAAATCTGACAAGCTGGATGTAGGCTTGTTGACTAATTCGGTTAAACCTTGTCATTCTGTGAATCTCTGAAAGCATTTTTTTAAATGTTTTAAAATTATTTTAAGAAACTAGATTGTTTCATGTGTATCTTTGTTTCAATTTAGATATGCATTTAAAATGTTAGTAGTTGTATAGGTTCACAATTTATACAATAAGCCTGCTAACAGCTTTGTTCTGAAACATTTAAAAAATTAACCTCTGAATTTTCTTCTAATTAAGACATCTATATTCTTTCTTGTAATTTCAGTTTTTGATTTTAAACTATAGAAAAGTGCACTTTTTAATTACTTTTATCTAATATTTGCTGATGTGATGAAATATTAGTCTAACCTTCATTGCACTGGTAACTTTATGTTACAATAGAATATTTGATTTTAAAGTTAGTCAACTCATCTAGGTAAAAAATGAAATATTGGGGAATTAATTCATTTATTTCGCCAGTGTATTTTGCAAGTTGGAATAATTACAGAAATAAACATCGTGCAAAATGTGTTCTAGATGAGTCAAACATAAGTATTAACAGCATCACTTGCCTCTGCTTATAAGGAGTATTGTTTCAATATTAATCATCTTTGTCCATACATGCTTTGTGATTCATTGCTTACTAAGTAACAATAATGAAAGAATGGTGTTTGAAGTTTGGCTGTAAACAAAACTAACATTTGGTTTATAGATACATTCCTTAAAAATAACGATAGAAAAAAAAACTGCTCATCTTGCCCAAGGCTATGAAGCTCTTAATATAATGTATTGCAGTTTTGATTGAAGGTGTTTATGTTTCTAAGAAACTGTTTGAGAAACTGATTGCTTGAATAGGTTAAAGAGCACGTTAACCTCAAATACAAAATTAAAGGCGAGTTCCTTAATTATGGCCAAAAATATTGTTAACAACAAGAGTATCTAACTGATGTAACTATGCTTTATAATTTTTACAAGTAAAAATGTAAGGAAAGTATATTTAATAAGCTATACTCATTACCAGGTTAAAGTTTAGTTTCCCACTAGAAGGTATCTTGCTCTGATTGGAAGTTAATAGGTAAAAAACTGAATTGGATAATTTCATCTAATTAAAACTTATTTAGACTATCATTTCTGATGTAAGCTGATATATATTTGAAAATATTGGAAATGCATTGAAAGTGTAAAAAAAAGTTACTTAATTTTACCTTTCATTATTTTTTAAAATTTCTAGTGAATAAAATTGAAAGAATTTAATTATTTTTCTAGGACAAGGTTAAGACAAGGTATCATATTGAAAACATGAAATTCTCTGACAAGACTAATGGGCTATTATCATCAATTTCTAATACATCCAAAAAGGAGGATGTTGTTCCATTCGTCCAACTAGAACAACTGAACATGACTTGTTTTGATAAAAAAAATGAGAAAGAGGAGAAAAGTGACAAAATGTGTACCTCAAAGAAAAGAGATTTAAAGGATAATGGAAATCTTTTATCCAACTAAAGCCCTTGAAAATGACTTCCCTTGATAATAAAAAGGAAAAGAAAGAGAAGAATAAAAATTCTTTATCATTAGATAAGTCAACACAAAAGCAAATTATGATCCATTTGTCAAGCTAGAAACCATGAAAATGGCTTCTTTGTATGGAAAAAAAAAAGGTGATAAAAAGAAAAAAGACACAAAATCTTGTTTATCAAAGAAAAGAAAATTAAAACCAAAGATAGCAGGTATGTATTCTAACTTTAAAACCTGAGATAAAAGTTTTATGAAAAAAAGACATCCCTGTTATTAGTAAATTATCTGTTGGCATGCTTTTAACTGACTAGAACAAATAACCTTTGTTTTAGCCTTGAAAAACATGATGTTCATATTAAGTAAGTGATAGAAATAGATATGCAGCAAAATCAATTATTTTGTGATTAATATTTAAAAATCTTAATTTTGCATGTAAATTTTGGAAATAAATGCATAAATAATTTTAACTAAATAGTTATTACCATCTAGGAATGTAATTATTTGTGAAATATTTCAGTCAATTATTTATTTAAAAACTCCATGTTTATACATCAAGGAATAAACAAGATACAAGAAATTATGCACGTTTGCCTTCATGTATCATAAGTCTAGCACTGGGAAAGTTTTATCTGTATATGTGATAATGAAAGTAATATAATTCACATCAGAATAACTTCTTTGCTAATAATGAGTAATGGGTTAAAATTTGTAATTAACATTGAATTTGGTTTAGTATTTTCATTAAATTTTAAGATATTTACAGCTAGGGAAAAGAGAAATTTGTTTTTATTTCAGATGCAAAATTTTATTATCTCTAACCTTTACAACTTTGTATGAAGGTAATAACATCTGATATACAAATAGCTTCTATTGGCAGCTTATTAAGCTGCAGACTGAAAAAACTTATAGCATCAAGCATTTTTATTCTTTGAAACAGAACCTACTGTTTTAAAAGGATTATGAAATTGTTTCTATTTCTAAATATACATACATTAATTATATAGAAGAAAATAAGAGAAGCACCCAAGGTAAACTTCCTTTTAAAAAAGTTGAAGTACAGCAGAGCATTGCTTTTCCATCTGACTCTTCAACTGTGGAAGAGCTGAGGAAGAAGATGGAGGAAAAGAGGTTAAAACGTCGAGAAGAAATTGCACAAAAAATAGAAGAAGCGAAACAAAAGAAAAAGGAAAAACGAGCTAAGGTATGTAAAGACCTATTTAAAAAAAACTTTCTTTAGAAAATGAATGTGAATAATTAGTATTAAAAATGCAAAATGATTTCAGTATGCTGAAAGAGTACACAATGTAATTTATCTACTCTCTCCGGAGGAAAGGTGTTTCACACTCTTCAGAGCCTCCGCCATCCATGTTATAAGACATTGTTTTGAATACCATGTAATTTAAAATTTTAATAAGAAATATATTTTGTATTAATTTATTAAATAAAAATAATTCTGAGTCTTAATTTACTTAAATTTAAAGTCTTTAATTAATCTTATTAATTAATTTCAATCTTCTATCACATAAACATCTGTTAACAAAAATATTAAACTACAACCACCAAGACGTACACAACTAGACAATATTAAATCTTACTATAATAATAATAATAAATTCTGATTCCATTTATAAGTTATAAAAAAGGTGTATACCTATAAAATTGATTTGTAAACTTTATTAAATAATATGATTAAAATAATAAATATAATTAAAATCCTCAATTCAAAACTTCCTTACTTATTAATTCTCCTATAATTTGTTATGCTTTTAATTTCTGTCAACAAGTAGGAGTTTTTATTTTTTTGTAATATTTAACAGTTAAAAATTTTAATCTTTGATTCAAAGCTGGAATCGAGAATTGTTTGTGCAAAAACTATGGGTGTATTAATAGGCTTTTACATATTAGAATTTCAAATAGCCTGCAATTGAGTTAAATGATACTTTAAATGTAGTAGTTAAATTGTACTTTGGATTTAGTAGTTAAGTAAAAGTCAATATATAGTCATTTTATTATATTTGCCAACAAGATTGATACACACAGTTTTCTTTCTTTCTTTTTTTTTAACACAAATACATTTTAATATACACACAACAATACAATTTAGAATAACAGTTATTACAAATAGTTATTACAAAAAATGATTCCTAAACAAAAGTTTCACAAACTTGCAAGCAATATAAAGTCTTCTTTCTAGTCTGGAACTTCTTTGCTATCTTATCGAGGATTCACAATGAGCGAGTTAATTACGAGTTGACGTAGGTATAATTCACTTAACAGGGAGCTAGCTAGCTTTGTCCTTCATTGTTCACCAGCCACACACGCCAAGTTTTACACGATGAAGTTGTATAATGTTTTCGTAAAAATACTAGTGTCCGATGAGAATCTACTGAAGTTAAATGATTTGTAATGTTCAAACTTTGTAAATGCTCCTGGTCAAATATCTGAAGTTTTCCGATTGGTAAGCATTATAACAATCACAGTTATAGCTTCCGAAGTTTATAGCACACTGACTATAGCAAACTAATAGATACTCTCTTTTGGCATGTCGCGTTGGTAATATTTATAGGCTTGTGGAGAGTTTCTCCAAATTTCAGTTTTACGTAACAATACTAATGCTAACACAAGCATTTACATATGCACATTTATATTAACATATAAACAGTATAAGCTATGTATATTTCTAAATATAAATTTAATCTAAACAAACATCAATATTAAAATAAATCTATAATAACAAATCTGTCACAAGGCAAATTTTTCACCAAACTTAACACCACCATATTTTGTAAAGTCTATAACAATTTTAAGTTTTCTGTATTAATATTTGACCGTGCATTAGCAGCATATTCAGTAAGTGATCTTATAAAACTCTTAAGTTTTTGTTATTGTTTTTCTGTTGCACCCTCCCTGTTTAGTTTATCTTGGTAGACACTATCAATTAAGTTTCAAATGCAAATTGATAACATTTTTACTTATTTTGTTTGCAGTTTTTATAAAAAGTTTATAGTATGTTTTTTTCAATATATTAATATACTTGTTTCCCTGTCTTGGAATTTACTCTAAATTACAGGAGAAAGCCAAAAGACAAGAGGAAAAACGAGCCCTAGCAGAGCTATTTTGTAAGTGGAAAAAACCCAGAGATGACCTGATGTGTGATGATAACAAGGTAAGGATTTTTATGTACATTCATAAATTATATATAAAAATGAATCTATTATAGAAAACAGTTTTAAGATTTCGACTCATACCTTCATTCTACATTGTCCATAGGTGCTAAAAACAAAAGGTAAAATACCTCATTAAAGCCTAAAATGGATTCTAAATATTTAACATAAGTGTATAGTTAAATTGTTTGCGCTATTAGTGGAAGAAAGAAATCTGTTCCTGCATAAAATTGTAATGAATTTCAGTTCAAAAATTATTCAAGCAAATGACTCCTGGCTACTAATTATGATCTTGCATACTGGCACAGATGTTATTCATGTGTAAAATATAGTTAAACTGTTAGTTTCAGTTTTATTTTTTCTTTAAGTTTTATTAAAAAGGGGTGCCATTTATCATATTTTCTTGAGAAAATTTTTTAAAATTTCTATGTTTATTATCTGCTCTTACAAGATTTTCAGTTGATCTGAATCTTTGGAATATTTCATATTTGTGCTTTTTTTTCTTCAGAATTGTATGGAGATAAACCAGCATTCAATAAAAAAAAAAAAAGTCTCTCTTTATTACTTAGAAAATTTCAGAACATTACAGTCATATAAACTAGATCACTGGGTCTGGTAAAAGTTCTAATACAAATGCATTTGGTACAGTAATATTTTTAGAACAGTATGGAAAATTCCAATTGCATTAAAGTACCTGAATTACCTCAATGGTAAGTCTGAAGACTTACAATGCAAACAAGAGAGAATCTTCAATAGCTGTGGCACTTGACATTCTTTTAAGCAGGATTAGAATAAATTAACCTAGGAGGCCTTGGGTGTGGTCAAATACATCAGTTATTAGGGTTTGACTTCCTGAGTCCAAAACTGTAATTAGATCTCAAATCAGTCGGGACACGATGAAGCTATGAGCTGAAAGTTTGTACTTGAAAAAAGAACAAAAATTCTTTGAGCCATTCTATGAACTGCTCTGCCACGGCTAAAAATCAGGTTTTTAGAGTTGTAGTGGGCACAGCACAGAAAGCCCAATTGTGTAGCCTTTTGCTTAACAAGAAACAAAAAATCTTGTATGTTTAGATTTTTTTCATGTGGAAGCTGTTTTTGATATTTGTTACAGGATCTTCCTGTTCCAACTCCATTAGACTGCTGCATTCCACAGGAATCATTTGGTGATGCTGTTATGGTAATAGAGTTTTTGAACAGCTTTGGTGACTTATTAGAGATGAAGGATTTTTTCCCACAAGGTTTTACATTAGGTTAGTGTTTTTTATTTTTAGTATACTAGAGCTCTTACACAAATCTTACAACTGTATTAATTATAGTATCTTATAGTTTTGTTTGAAACTAATTGTCAGAAGGCATGGCTGATATGAAATTTTTCATATGTATGTAATTTGATAATGGCATATATTTTCATAGTGGGCTTCTCAACCACAATATTTTTATTGCCTATATTCAAATTAATTTAGAATTACTCTCAGTGATATGTATGTATATCTAGATAAAATTGATAGTGGAAGCAACATATCAGTGTATTCATCCCCAGTATAACCTAAATCCTGATCCTGTCTACACCTTGATAGAGCTAAAACAATATACTGGTCTACTTACCTTCTACATCACCTAAACTCTAATCTTTACTATAACTGAGTAGAACTAAAACAATGTACTGATTTACTCATCCTCAACATAAACTAAATACTAATCCTTTTTAGACCTAGGTAGAACTAAAACAATGTATTGTGCTGACATCAACTCATTACAAAAAGTTTGGCAGTAAACATTTTTGGCAATGAAAAGGTCTAATACAAATATGATAACCCTTAATATAGATATGAACAGAATTTCTTATAGTGATGTAATTAAGGTATCAGAAATTACTTTGTAAGAATATTAAGATTTCTTCTTCTTTTTTTTTAACAAGAACACCTGGAAAAAGCCTTGCTGGGCACTGACATAGAAGGACCACTTAATAATCTGGTACAGATGCTACTGACCAACATTTTCAGGTTTCAGGAAGAAGAAAAGGAAATAAATAAAGACATTGTTGATAGTTCCACTGTAGAAACAGGTGAATACATAATGGACTAATAAGAAATGATAATTTAAATGTTTACTTAGATTTCACCTGCCTTCATTGAAACTTTTAGCTGAGATTGAATTGGCGAGGGTGGACGTGTAAAATGTATACATTTTTTTAGATGTAACAATTCTTAATAGTTGAATTTAATAGCTTGCCATTGTTTTTAAAATTCTGGTCAGATTCAATATTTTCATGATCTCTGATTCGAGTGGATCAGTCAATGTATGACATAATCCATGCAACACAAACTTTTCTCCTAATAGTCAGTAGTTGTTTTAGTTGTGTTTAATTGTTTATTGTAATGTATGTAAAATTATTTTATTCTCTTACCTTTTTTCAACTTCAAATAAAAGTGAAAAATTCTAGTGAACCATTTCTAGGGTGTGTTGCACAGATCCCTGGCAAAAGCTTTATAGCAGATAACTGACATTTTTCTTCATCTTATACAACTATACTACTAAGGATACCATCCACTGTCAAGCAGTCTTGTGAGCCTTTGACTTATTAATATAAATACCCTATCAGTGACATTGGTCAATGTCTTATAGATTTGAACCTTTGATTGGTAGCTAACCATTTTGGCCATTATTTGATTTATTTATTTTTTGAGAGATAGGAAAACTGCAATTATGTATTTATTTATATATCATTGAAAATTAAATTTTATTTATTTTAACCTTTAAAGGTGCTATGAACCATTAGTTTAGCATCACTCACTAAACTTTATCCTTAAAGTTTTTTTTAAAACTATCATGAAGTGTTTTATAATTGTAGGAGGAAAGTTCACTCACTTTCTGTTTGTTATTAACAATTATGTATATTAGTGCATAGTAACTTACAATGGTCTCAGGAAATGAAAAAAACAGAAAATTTTGGAAGACTTGCAGAGTTGTTGAAATAACATAATTATTTAAGGTATCAAATAAATAGTTGAATTACCTACTGCAGTCTTTTCTATTTAGCAAGTTAACAACAGACAAAATAACTAATAGTTATGCATGAAGTTTTAATTTAGTTATTGATAGGCTTTAAATGGGACCATGTATATATGCATACATGAAGGATGCATGTACAGTTCTGTTTTTCACAAGAAAAAATTTAATTTCATTGAAAATTTTTAATTTAAAATGTGTGTAATTGGTCTGAACTGGTAATTTACTGCTCTTTATTATAATTCAGGTGACAGTCTAGAAGAAAACTTAACTTGTACAAAAGCTGTTCATTCTGCTACCGTTGCCTCAACCTGGCCTCAGTTATTTCATGGTAAAGATTGTTTATATGTTAAAAAATTTACTTTTTTTGTTATTGTTATTAATATTATTGTTAATTTAGCTAAAACTGATTCTAATCAAGCCCAGAATATATTTCACCAAGTTAAATTTTTAACTGTAGTTGTGGTAGATATTGTATAAACTCTTATAGTTCAAAACATGTTCACTGGACATTATTTAGAAATTTTAACAATAACTCTTTGTCAGTTTATTCAGAAAGTTGAATTTTTTTTTATTAATAGACAACCTACTGAATCTTGACTTTCTCGAAGTTATTAATGATTTATACCCTGTTGTCATTAGTTTTCATTTACCAGCACTCACAATTACCATACATAGCTCAGTGAAAATGTTGCACAAATGCCATATGTTTTTTCTTTAATCCAGGGGAGTGATGCTGTTTGGTACATGTCTTCACCTACATGTGAACTTCAAGACTGAAATTATTTTGAGAAAAGTTTGTTCTAATGTAAAAAACAAACTAACTTGAAACTCAAGTCTGTTGTGGATTTGATATATTTTCCCTTGTAGCGAGTTAGAAAATAGAACTAAAAATGGAAATTTATGTAAACATTTGTTTTACATACAAAAACGTCTGTAAGTTGTATTGAAAGCATAAATTTATTTATTAACTTAATTTTTTATCCTGTAGAAAAGGGTAAGAGTTGTTCTTTGTTGTTTTTCTATTTATTTTCAATTTCATTGATTATTTAGAACATGCATATTTTTGAAAATTCACAAGATTTTTCTACAATGAGTTAACTCTGATCCACTTATTTTATTTTTTAAGGAACTGCTCTCAAACAGATGGCACTAGATGCTTTCACTGTGACAGAGGTTTTACGTTTGCACTTGTTAAGCTCTGGTGCCCAAAATAAGACAAGGAGAAACTATTCACCAAAAGAAGACCCAGGGTTGTGGTTTCATATTCAAGAAGGAAGTGTTTTAAGGAGGCTGTCCTATTTAAGTATTTTTGAGCTTACAGTTGGTGAGTGGTACTGTAATTTAAACTTAGCAGTACAGAGTATCATTTTGTAAACATTAGTAGTGTATCCAGAACAATAACAATAATAAAAAGAAATGTATAGGAAAAAATATACAACTTGTGAGCTATTTTCTATTTTTCCACTTGGAAAGTTTTAAATATGTGGAGTTGGAGTGTTAAGTAATAGTTAAGCAAATGTCAAATATAAATTTCATTAAAAAATATGAAATGTAGATATACAAAGTTGTAACAGCTGTATGAGGAATCTAGTAAACAAGTGTGTTAAAATACTTTTCATGTGTGTGTATATATGATAATTTTATTATGGTTTTTCATCGTTATTTGGGCTATTCTGAAACCTTTTTAACCAAGCAAGTATTAAGGTTGTAGATCTCTTACGGTAATGTATTAAATAGTGCTATCTCAAATCAAATTCAGATTGTTTTATTTGAGTAATAACAATATATTTCTTGCTATTTGTTGTAAACAGGAGAAAAAGTGAAAATTTTGAAAGTGCTAGTAGATCAGCTATTAACATTTGATGTGATGCGAGATGTCATTGAGGAAAACACTATTGAACTGAAAAAAGCGAAAAATGACCTGAAACATTTACAGTGGGATTTTACTCGTAAAGAAAAAGAGAAGGCTACAACTAGGTAAGCAAATATTTGTAAGAAAGCCAAATACTGAACTTTTACTCATCAGATTTGATTAAACTGCTATGTTGTCTCATGTATTTGACAGATATTAAACAATACAATATTTTTCTATACACTAGGATGACCTGTATTTGACATTTTTCAGTAATCCATTTTTTATATGTTGGGGTTACTAGTCAGCAAATAATTAACTTTATTAATGTTGTTAAGTTTTAATTAAGATTCAGAATTCTGGAGTATGCTTTTTAAATTCTCAAATTGTATGTATTTAAAACGTGATACTATAAACTTTACAGAACTAAATTAAAGCCCATTTGTATCACAGATTGGTACATGTTAAAATTTTTCAAAACCAGTTTATATTGTGCATCTCAATAAACCTGTAATAAATGCATATAGAAAAAGATACAGGCTGTTAATTGTCTTATTTACTTTTTCTTGCAATTGACGGGAGACACCACTTTGATAGTGTATAGCAATAGATCGATTAGGAAATTCATCCAATATATAATCATAACACCACCACTAAACAGAGACATTGAATTATAATTTGACAATTTATGGATTCCATTGCTCTAAAAGTTTCTAAACAATATATATTGCTTACAGCAAATCTTAATTTATATTCAACATTTTATTTATTTGTATTTTCGTCATCAGGTCTTAAAGATGTTAAAAACATCATTTGGATAGAAAATGCCTAATTTTTTTACTTACAAATTGAAACCTATCTACATTTACTAAATGATAAATAAGTTATTATTAAATCAAGCTGAAATAGCTTTTTAGGAAATAAATGTGAAGATTAAAATTCACTTTCTTCTAAGAGAAACAATAGCCCAGAAGTTCCCCATTATGATCAAAGTTACAATGTAGTATAATAAACCTAACATATACATGAGGCTGAAGCAAATTCATTGAACTGCATCAAAGTGTTGTTCCTCATCCAAGTTTTGTAGGAAGATTGCCATCAGTCTCTATGAACAACATCCCTATTTTTCATATCTGTTCCCTAGTTTTAATTATTTTGGTTTTATTGTTATGTTATATTTAGTGGGGTAAGTTTGACAATGAATAAACTCTTATCAAACAGATGATTGTACGTTTACTCTGTGTAATGTGTGTTGATGAATCTTATAAAAAAAGATTTTTAAGTAAAACATATGAACTCTGGAGTTACTGTCTGGTAATATTAGATTTTATTTCTCAGTAGTGAATGTGTGTAAGAACGGTAGTGTAAAATGGTTCTAGACTTACTACATTTAAGAATTAGTTGGTATTTTATAAGATATCACATCATAATAGAATTGATAATCATTTAATTTGCACCTTTCTTTATTGTTCAAGTATGCGTTTTCGATAAGAAGTATTTATAATAGCACTTCATCTACACTACTCCAGTCTCTCATTACCAGAACTCATCAGACCAGTTGGCCTACAGTAATTTTAATCATAATTTAGTCATATATTTTAAGCTAATAGTAAGACTTGAAATACCACACTTTTTATCAAATAATGGTTCGTGCTTCACCAGGTTAAGCATTTATACACCACGAGAGTAGATTTTACTAAGATTTTAAGAAGCCATCCTTGTTCTGCAATGGAGACAAAAATCTTAGGGAACCAGTTTTTTACTTAAAAGGCAAAGGGTTTATGTCAGAAATATGGAAGGTGTATCTTTTGAAGTTGTCAAGAGGAATGACAGAGATTAAAATTAGCAATCTTAAAACATCTAGGACAGATAATATAGCCAAACTTTCCTTTATTCATTCTGTTCTTGGACAGTCAAGACGTTATTTTACTGAACTTCAAATTTACAATTTTTATAAGAAAACAGTCAGTTTAGAGTTCTGTGACAAAGTTTTTTCAGTAAATTTTAAGGTGCTTTCTGTTAAGTCTCCATTTAATTGTATCTTCAGTTTTTAATTCCTCAAGCTAATGCTAATTTGAAAGAGTATAAGACAGTAGTAGTTTAAGTACATATGCTATTGGTAATATAAATTTGCAATTTATTTTGTTAAACTAGGGCCTGGATTCTTTCATTTAGTCTTCTGTCATACTGCATGCTTCAAACTTCCTATCCAATTTTTTATCCTATGGATCCCATTACTCACTTATTACAGTGATTCACAGACTCTGAGTGTGGGAAAGTTTCTAAAGAATATATATTGCTTACAGCAAATCTCAATTTATATTCAACATTTTATTTATTTGTATTTTCGTCATCAGGTCTAAAAGGCATTGAAAAAATCATTTGGATAGAAAATGCCTAATTTTTTTTTACTTAAAAATTTAAATCTATCTGCATTTAATAAATGATAAATAAAATTAATTATTAAATCAAGCTGAAATAGCTCTTATTTAGAAAATAAATGTGAAGATCAAAATTTTTGTTGATTTGGCAACCAATATTAACTTACTTATTTTGTCTTTTGCAGACATAAGAAAGAAAAACTAGAAAAAAACAAGAAGAAGAATGGATTAGATAACTCCACTGAAAATACTGTGGTTGACAAGATCATAGAGTAAGTTATCTGCGGAATGGTAATGGTATTTCTAAGTGCTACACTTACAGCTGTTTGAAATATGTACTATTGATATTTTGACATAACAGAATCACTTCTACATCTTCTTGCAAGGTTAATGTTCTCCAAATCGGTTTTGTAACAAGAGAAATAGACACAAATAGGGAAACACAAACACTTAGGAATTAGGAAAACCACAGTAAGGGTGGATCTTACAAAAATTATGAAGGTGTGTAACTTTTGCATCATTCTGTATATTTTTTACTCTAGTTATTGATTAGATAGATACCAATATGCAAAAGCTTAATGGATTCCAAGGTACATTTTATTTAACCTGAATGGGTGAATGTAGAAAAGCCAAGTTGATATTTAGTTTGCAAGAAATTCCTTTGCTTTCGAAAATAGGACTGCAACTTTCAGGGGTATGATTGTGAAATATATATTTGTATTGGTATTTATAGTAAACAGAAGAAAAGGTTAAAATCTTGTCTGTGCTAAAAGATCAGCTTTTAAAATTTGATGTAAAGTGAGATGTTGTTGAGAAGCCATACTAAAAATCAACACTTTCTACATTGTAAGCAACTTGTTTGTTTTCTTTTGACAATCAAAGGTCTAAGGTTTGATTGTAGCTATAACTAGTGTACTGATATTACTTTTTCCAAATTCTCTGTACTGATGTAGAGCAACTGTTTGAAATTTTTGTATTTGTCACATTCCCCTCATTTTAGTTGACTTTGCATGCGTAATCATACAAAACTCAAATTACTTAAATGTCTAAAAATTTTCTGCTTGGCAAAAGGTTGAACAGTTGCTAAATCCACATATCTGTTAGAAACGTTAACATTGGTTTGACAAACACATTTTTTTTGCATCTTTGTTTTGATAAATGTTATTTCCTACTACCCATGACTCACATAACATGCCCTTTGCCTGAATTGTTCTTATCCTATCATTTTCATGCTTGCCATTTAAGCTATAGTTTCATGCAGGTATTATGCTTTAAATTAATAAAACTTTGTCTATTTGAACAAATTTTATGTGATCAGACAAACATACTCACTTAAACTTAAATTCATTTAAAAAGCTACATGTAAAGTAAACAGCAAAGTAATAGTATTTATAATAGTGTACAGAGTATGAAAATTATGAGTGTTCAGTGTATGACATGATCTTACAAGTTGAAACAAAGAAACTCGCAAAAACAAAAAATTAAAAAT